AGGGAATGGCGCGGGCGGAGAGCTTGTCCGCGGACGTATCGCGAACAAAGGCACGAGAACCCCAGACCCGGAACACCGACGCATCGCCAACCTTCCCCGTCCAACGCAGTGTGGGCGAGGTCTCCGGCAAGGAGACACGGGGCCAGAGGTTGAGCTGATGCGCAGCGTACCGGACCACAAACGGCCACAGAAAATGGGGAGCGGCCGCATGGATCATGGAGGTACGAGCGACCTCCATGACTAAGCCAATGCGGCGCTCAGCAATCCCATTTTGCTGAGGGGAGTTCAGAAGCGTGAACGACTGGAGAATGCCCTCCCCACGACAAAAGTCCCGCAAGAGGTCGGAGGAGAACTCACCACCTCTGTCAGAGTGCAGACGCAGGACAGGAAGGTCCTGGCCGAACCGCTCGCGCAGCTGGAGACGGACCATGCGGATCCAAGGGATCAAGACAGCAAAGACCTCACCCTTGCTGCGCAAGGGGAAGACTGTGGTGTACCGCGTGTAGTCGTCAACTACCAGCAGAAAGTAGCGCTCGCGGCCCTGTCCACTGACGCGGGCTGGGCCCCACACGTCCATGTCGAGGGTCTGCAGGGGAGCAGTCGTCGGGGGAAACGAGGAGGAGTGAGGAGCGGCGCGCTGCCGCCCCTCGACGCAAGGAAGACAGGGCGGGGCAGGCGAGGGCGGTAAGGGAGGCAGAGACCTGGGGAGACGAGAGACAAGGAGACAGGAGTGCATGCCACGAAGGCGTGGCAGAGAGGGGTGACCCAGGCGGTGGTGCCAAAGAAGAGTCTGGTGCGTCAGGAGGCGACACGAGCAAGAGGCGGCTACCTGACCTGACGCGGACACCTAGACAGAAGTAGCAACCTGAGGAGGCTCGGTAGCCAGCGTGTACAGACTCGACCCTGGCCGACGAGTGAACGTAGCTAGGTGACGCCCCGTCCGTGTGCATGTGCAGATCGACACACGCTGACCCCCAGGAGTGGTGGTAGTGACCATCGCATCCTGAAGGGCAGTGGTACTCACCAAGTTCGTAGAGAACGAGGGGAGGTGAAGACCTGACAGTGAGCCGGACGGAACCGCCGGACACGGGAGGATAGTGGAGGAACGGGCAACGACCGGGCCCCCAGAGGGGTCAGCCAGTCTGACTGGGACAGGTGCAGGGAGAGGAGTGAGAGTGGTGTTGTCACGAAAGAAACAGCGCGAGGCGCCGGAGTCCAACGTGAAAGTGTGCAAGGCCGCAGCAGGCGCAGTACCAAGAGGAGTACCAGACGCACTAGCACCTAGAGCAGCAGCCGCTATACCAAGGTCAGGTGGCACACACCGGTAGCAGTCACCCTCAGCACTAAAAGACAAAGCATACATGGCAGAGATAATAACATCAAAGTCTAGGTCAAAGATAGCAACTCCTGACTGAAGCAACTGCGCCCAGCGAGGGCGCTCGACGTCATCACCAAACTCAGCACGCCAGGCGTCGTCAAGGCGGGCAAAGCAGCGGCGCTCAGTGTGAAACCTCCCGCATGTCCAGCCCGCACGGGCACCCATGTGAATGACATACGGGCAGGTCTCACTACCCTCACCCGCCCCACGCTGAACCAACCACTCACGGAGCTGCTGGGGCGTCTGGGTCTCGCTCCGACGCTGCTGCTGCTGACCCCGACCACCACCAGGGCCTCCACGCTGAGGTCCAGATCGACCACCACTGGTCCCACTGCCTCCACTGCGGCCACTCCCTCCGCTGCCTCCACCGCCGCCACCAGAGCCTCCACCTCCGCCACCGGTCCCACTGCCGCCACCACCTCCACCGCCTCCACCTCCTCTACCGCTGCCCCCACTACCGCTCCCACTGCCACCTCCACCACCACCGCTGCCTACTCCACTACCCCGGCCACCCTTGCCCTTGCTATTGCGGCGCTTCGCACTAGTCGAAGCAGCACCAACGTCCTCAGGAACAGAGACGTCTGCAGCAGCAGCAGAGGCGAAGGAGGAGGAAAGGGGGGAGGGGGAGCACCCCTCAAAGAAGGGTGAGCGCGGAGTGCCACGAGCAGCACCTACAGCAACTGCACTAGTCTCAGCTGCGAGGAGATGCTGCTCAAGGAGGTCAACAGTGAGGGAGGTGGGGTCGAGGGTGAGGAAGTGGTCCCTGACAGAGCGAAGGGAGTCAGGGAGGCGAGTGACTATGAAGTAGAGGGTGATGAACATGGGGGGCTGGTTCGTGGGAAGGAACTCAGCAGGGACGGTAGCGCGGTAGCGAGCGTCGCTAGTGCGCAGGTGGGTAACCAGGTCCGCTACTGTGGCAAAAGCTGACAGCTCAGGGAACAGGTAGGGCAGTAGCAGCCTGCCAATAGCAGCAGTGGCAGGGGAGGAGTAGCGAGCAACGACAGCGTCGTACAGGGTCTGTGCTGTCCTGTGCTCTCCAAAGTGGGTACACTCGGTCGCAGGCAGGTGGTTGTGAATGGCTAAGCGGGCAGTAGCGTCACGGGAAAGAGTCGAAACGTCAGCTGTGGCGGGAGGGGCTGGAGCGGCACCGGACACGTGGTCAAACAGTGAGACACTGTCCTTAAGATCGCTCAGTAGGTACAGTTGCAGATCGTCGTGCCACGTGTCAAATGCTACAGGCCTGCCCTCCAGGTCGAACGCAAGAACTCTAAGAGAAGCCATAGTGGCGCAGGGCTCAGGAGCAGCAGTAGCAGTAGCGAAGGGGCGGAGCCGAGGGGCCTAGGGGCCGAGGGGCCAAACAAGAGGGCCTATGGGCCGAGGGGCCGAGGGGCCTAGGGGGCCGAGAGGCCTAGGGGGCCGAGGGGCCAAACAAGAGGGCCGAGGGGCCAAACACGAGGGCCGAGGAGGCCGAGCCTAGGAGCCGTGGCTAGGGGCCAAGGGGCCGAGAGGCGGGGCCGAGGGGCCAAACAAGGGGCCGGGCGCGGGCAAGGTACGGGGCCGGGCGCTGGCTAGGTACGGGGCCGGGCGCTGGGCAGGTACGGGGCCGATTGCTGGGCTCTGAATTGGGGCCAAGGGGCCTAGGGGGCCGAGGGGCCAAACACACGGGGCCGAGGAGGCCGAGCCTAGGGGCCGAGGCTAGGGGCCGAGGGGCCGAGGGGCGGGGCCGAGGGGCCAAACAAGGGGCCGGGCGCTGGGCAGGTACGGAGCCGAGGGGCTTAGGGGGCCGAGGAGGCCGAGCCTAGGGGCCGAGGGGCCAAACAAGGGGCTGAGGGGCCTAGGGGGCTGAGGGGCCAAACACACGGGGCCGAGGAGGCCTAGCCTAGGGGCCGAGGCTAGGGGCCAAGGGGCCGAGGGGCGGGGCCGAGGGGCCAAACAAGGGGCCGGGCGCAGGGCTAGGTACGGGGCCGGGCGCGGGCTAGGTACGGGGCCGGGCGCTGGGCAGGTACGGGGCCGAGCGCTGGGCTCTGAATTGGGGCCGAGGGGCCTAGGGGGCCGAGGGGCCAAACACACAGGGCCGAGAAGGCGGAGCCTAGGGGCCGAGGAGCGGGGCCGAGGGGCCAAACAAGGGGCCGGGCGCAGGGCTCTGAACTGGGGCCGAGGGGCCAAACAAGGAGCCGGGCGCTGGGCGAGGTACGAGGCCGGGCGTGGGTGTCGACGGGCCGGGGCTAGGTACGGGGCCGGGCGCTGGGCGAGGGACTGAGCCGGGCGCGGGCTAGGGAAGGGGCCGGGCGCGGAGCTAGGTACGGGGCCGGGCGCTGGGATAGGAACGGGGCCGAGCGCGGGCTAGGTACGGGGCCGGGCGCGGGTGTCGACGGGGTGCTGGCTAGGTACGGGGCCGGGCACGGGTGTCGACAGGGCGCGGGCTAGGTATGGGGCCGGGCCGCAGGCTAGTTACGGGCTGGTCGCGGGCGTCGACGGGGCGCGGGCTAGGTACGGAGCCGGGCGCGGGTGTCGACGGGGCGATCGCGAGCTAGGTACGGGGCCGGGTCGCGGACTAGGTACGGGCCGGTCGCGGGCGTCGACGGGGCGCGGGCTAGGTACGGGGCCGGGCGCGGGTGTCGACGGGGCGATCGCGGGCTAGGTACGGGCCGGGCGCGGGCGTGAGAAAGGGTCGAGCGCGGGCTAGGTACGGGCCTATCGTGGGCTAGGTACGGGCCGGGCGCGGGCGTGAGACTGGGCCGGGCGCGGGCTAGGAACTAGGTAGGCGCATTAGTAGGTGGTGGGCCCAATAGGAACCTACTCTAATACCATGTGAAAAGAAGTGACGAGAATGATCGATTAGGAGAAAGGGGGGGGGTACAAGTAGAATGTCGAGATGATTTCTGTACCCCCTAAAGCTAGCCCCCATACAGCCTAGATACAACTAAGCATATATGTTTTGACAACGAGGTCCGGGCAGCTTGGGGGTCCTACTCGTCTCGTTGATCTGGTAAGTGCTAGTTTTGCACGCGTACGTGCTGTCCGCGGAAATATTCACGACTTCTAACACATACCATGTCGTTTTTCAGGACGCGGCTTCATGGAAGGGCTGTTGCGGCAACCTCGCATGCTTGTACGCGCTCGACAAGATCGTCCAGGACCTTGACGAGGTGGCTGCCCAAGACTCTGGGCCGCAACCCACGAGGCCTTCAGTCCGGACGCTGAACGCGTTGCGTCACGAGGCATACCGCACCGCAGAGGAGCTCGCGTTCAACATGAGCGTCCGGATGTCTATTCCCAAGCAAGGAGGTGATGCTCACGGTAATGATCAGGAGCATGCCAAGGGTTCGCAGGTTGCTGATCAGGGGGTACTCGCGCTCACGGGAGGGGCTGGATTCCCGGTCCGCGGTGGTACTCAAGAGGGTACTGAGGAGCATCCGGGCCCTAGGCCTGACCGCGATGGTGACGATGATGGAGAGGTTACCGCGGGTAAGGGTGTGGGAGAATGAGATCCCTCGGGAAATCGTGAGATGTCAACCGCGGTGGCTGGTCGTCGGGGTCGCGGTAGGGTCGGGATCGCGGACGAGTCAACGGATGTGGTCGAGGTTCAGGGGGGGGGTTGCGCAGGGCAAACACGACGGGGATGTGGAGCTGGCACGAGTCGGGTGAGGAGGAGGCGGAGGCTCACGTGGTCGCGGCTGTGGCTGCCGATAGGCCTGCAACCTCCGGGAAAAGCATCTGGCGGCTCGCACAGCATTTGGCCCCAAGAGCTGGGAGCGCGGGCCCCTCTGGTGAGCTTGGGGGCAAGAGTCCTGTGCGTGGTCCCCGGGATTTTGAGTCTCTGGCCGCGTTGCTAGCGAGGAGGCTGGCTGCCGAGATTTTGCAACTCGACTACAAGCTGGAATCACAAGCGCAACAGATAGTCTTGCTGAAGAAGCGCCTGGAGTCTCACGAGGGTGGTATCGCGGTCATAAGCTACGAGGAGCTCGCCTCCGCCGTTGCGAACACGGCGATGGTCTTAGAGAAGGAGGTGAAGGCGGTCGCGTTAGAAAGGGCAGCCCTTCGCGACCAGCGGAACCAGGAGGAGTTGACGCTGGGTCGCATTGATGCGAGGTTGGGAAAGCTGGAGGGGGTGGTGGTCGACTCGATGGAAGGCGTGCAGAAGAAGCTGACCGACGAGGTTTTGCGGAAGATCGACAACATGTCGACCGCGGTCTCCGCCACAGCAGTGCGGGCCATCACCACCAGCGGGGTCACCAACGCCTTGCACACGCTCATCACCATTGTTTCCGGTAGTCCGCCGCCGTGCACGGACACGGAAGAACCGCACGCGACGGAGACAGCCAAACCCGGAGATACAGAGAATGGGAAGCGGGCCGCAGGTGCGAGGGTGGATAACCAACGGGGGGCGAAGAGGCCGAGAGGTCCTCAGGCAGCGGCCGCGGTTCGCAACCTGAGTGTGCAGGACATCCTGAAGCAGAAGTGGGGCGCGGCACCTCGGGGTGCAGGACAGCCTGCTCCACCGGGTTCGTGCTCGCGCTCTATCCCCGCAGGAGAATCAGCGCCGAAACCTCCAGCCCCTGCGCAGGCAAACGCGACGGTGACGGTGACAACGGGTAAGGGCAAAGGGAAGGTGGAGGAGGAGGAGCCGGCTATAACGGGTAAGAGGACAGTGAAGCTTGAGGTTCAGCACGCGGCGGCGGCGGCGGATGCCAAGCACACCGCGATCGCACCCGCACTTGCTGCCGCAGTGACAGGGCGGCATGGCCCCAGTGCGAGTAATTCTGCAGGTCCGAGTGGGGCCGCGGTCGAGCCCAAGACAGAGAAACGCGGCAGGGGTGCCAAGAAAACGCCGCCTCCACCCGTATTCACCATCGACGATGACGGTGCGGACGATGAGCTGGAGAATCTCGTGACGATAGTGGTTGGCCTGGCAGACAACGGAGGCGACAAGGGTTTCGATGACGCAGTCGAGGCTTAAAGCGGCAGGGAAAATGAGGGCGTGCAAGGTGGGGAGACCGGAGGGGTGGCCGGTGGCGAAACGGGAGGAGAGGGCGACACTGGCACCAAGCGCAGGGGCTGTGGCATCCACAACCCGCCCAGGGGCGGACCAGGCAAGGTTTCCGAACCGCACTTGGCGGGGAAGAAGTGTTGGCTTGGACACGGCAACCTCGAGGACCTACAGTATCTCACCGCAGTCGCGATCACGCCGTTCGACAAGAAGGTGGACCCCGGGCTTCACCTGAGCAGCCAGCAGCTCCAGAAGTGGGCTGCGGATCTCTCCGCGGCCGCACAGTTATACACCGGCATTTTCATCACGATGCATCTCCGCAACCTGACGAGCAGCAAGGACAGGTGAGATATCGCTCCCGCAGTGTCATACCGCCTTTCCACAAGTTTACCGCGTTAGTGGTACGCTGTACATGATGTTTTGTACTCTCCACTGCATGGCAGGTGGGCGCGCATGTTCAAGACCTTTCGAGAGATCACCACACCAGCATCCAACACAACCAACGAGATTGCCTTGGCCGCGGTGGTAGGTAAAGAGGCTGCAACAGAGGAGCCGGATATCGGCGACGTGGCGCCGAACGAGTACGCGGGCGCTGTCGCATGCGCGATTGCAATGGTGTGGGAAGTGACGCGCGGTTCCAACATCACGGCTGCAGCGGATTCAGGGCATTTGGCCGCGAAAAGTGCCGGTTGCCTTGGTGAACGCAACCGAACCTACCCTCCAGTTGTCGGATACGTCCTCAACGCTGTGAGGAGGCACAGTCAGCGCGAGAATGCAACGGAAGAGGACCCGAAGCAGGTCGCGGCCGCGGTTGTATCCTCTGTCGTGAACGCCCTGGGGGCACGGTTCAACGATGTCAGGCACGTCGAGATGGCCGCCCGCGAGGTAGTGGACGTGCTCATCACCTGAAGCGACTGCGCGATTGCAGGGAGGGTCCTGGAGACCATGGGTCTCTACCTTGCCCTACCCTGCTTGAGTTCTACTCGCGGTGGACGTTGCTGAACGCGGATAATGGTGTGCATGTAGGATTCAGTTTGAGCGTATATCTGCGTGGTTGACTAGTGTAGTAGCTTGTCCACCCTGCTTGAGTTTTACTCGCGGTGGATTTTGCTGTGTGTGCATGTGTGTGCGTGAGTTTATAGTGTAGTAATTTGTAACACATGCGCATGACGCAACCAGATGTTGCACCTTCATGAGTGATGGGGACATCAGGGATCCAACACGAACACTCTATACCTCTCAGAAGCAAAGCGAGCATAGCATGTAACAACATGTGGCGGCGTGATCTTGGAGTCCGTTGATGAAATTACACACAAGGGACCAGCATATTCCCCCGATGATGTTGCGAACGCGAACAGATCAAGTACACGATCGTGAGAATGTAACTCCTGACTTGGCACTCGGTTTATTTCCCAACGCGATAAACATCAATCGCAATTCTCCCAAATCTATTACAACACGTACAATGCGATCGCGAGCATGCGGCAGTCTAGAGCAATCGGTTTTTTTTTTTCAAACGTCGAATACAAAGCGGTTGAAAACGTTTACTCTAGTCGTGACATCCTTGCACAGTACTGTGGCCACGCGACTGTGAACTCATTCGCGGGAAGAGAGTGATCGTTGAGACGCTCGCGAACAAGCATCCATTTCACACGGCTGTCAAGGTCATTGACACTAGAAAAAGTATATGTACACAGTACTTAGGCATCGTGATCAACATATGGCGCGATCTTCACATGGTAATCTAGATCAAACATGTCAGAACATTATAGCTTATGCTGTTGTGTAGGCTATAGTGGGGTATCCCATAGGGGGTACAACCAATTAGGGTTTCATATTTGTACTCACTTCATTTTCATAGTTCACCCATTCTCGTTCTCATTCTCACATGGAATCAGAGCAGGTCCCCTCCTAGGGACTGTTCCTTGGGCCCACCGAAGCGCGCCTCGAGTCGCGCCTGCCTTTTTTTTAGCGGCCCGTCGAGTCGCACCTAGCGGCCCGTCGCGCCGCCCTTACGGTCGCATCGAGCCGCCCTAGCGGCTGCGGCGCGCCGCCCTTTTCCCGGCCCGTCGCCGCCCTTACCCGCGGCTTTGCGCCGCCCTCACCGGCGGCTTCGCGCCGCCCCTACCTGCGGCTTCGCGCCGCCCAGGCCCGTCGCCGCCCTTCCCGCGGCTTCGCGCCGCCTCTACCTGCGGCTTCGAGCCGCCCCGGCCCGTCGCCGCCCTTACCTGCGGCTTCGCGCCGCCTACGGCCCGTCGCCGCCCTTTTCTGCGGCCCCGCCGCCTCTCTCGTTGCGGCCCCGCCGCCCGTCTTCGCGGCCCCGCCGCCATCTCTCGCTGCGGCCCCGCCGCCACTCACTGCGGCCCCGCCACCCGTCTCAGCGGCCCCGCCGCCCGTCTTCGCGGCCCCGCCGCCTCTCTCGCTGCGGCCCCGCCGCCTCTCACTGCGGCCCCGCCGCCCTACTCAGCGGCCCCGCCGCCCGACTTCGCGGCCCCGCCGCTTCTCTCGCTGCGGCCCCGCCGCCTCTCTCGTTGCGGCCCCGCCGCCCTTCACTGCGGCCCCGCCGCTTCTCTACAGCGGCCCCGCCGCCCTACGTCAGCGGCCCAGCCGAGCCGCCCAGCAGCAGAGCAGCCGAGCCGCCCCGCCGCCGAGCCGCGCTGCAGCCGAGCCGCCCGGCCGCCCACCAGCCGAGCCGCCGTGCAGCCGACCGCCCAGCCACCGAGCCGCCCAGCTGCCGAGCCGCCCAGCCGCCGAGCCGCCCAGCCGCCGAGCCGCCCAGCGGCCGAGCCGCCCTGCAGCCGAGCCGCCCGAGCAGCCCTGTCCGGTGAGCACAGACCCTCTGTCACTGCGTGCTCTTCCCCTACTCCTTGCACTGCTGGTCTACTGCTGTCATGGCTACCCCTAGTGTCCTCACTTTTGACGCTGAGGGTCGGGCCATTGACTTTGAGGTCTGGGTAGATGACCTACAGCTGTTCTTACAGTGCGATAGGGCGGACGGCCTCTCTCTCTTTGACCTCACCTCTGGCGCTTCCCCTGCCCCTGTTGCTGATGCTGACGCCATTGTTCGCTCCCAGTGGGCCACGCGCGATGCTGCTGCACGTCTTGCTGTGCGTCGCCACCTCCCTACCTCCGAGCGTGCGCACTTTAGTCAGTACAAGAGTGCTCAGACCTTGTACGCCGCTGTAGTCGCACGCTACTCCTCCCCTTCCACTGCTGCACTGAGCCGTCTCATGCTGCCGTACCTCTTCCCTGACCTTGCTTCTTTTCCCACCGTTGCTGACCTCATTACGCACCTCCGCACTAGTGACACTCGCTACCGCGCTGCACTTCCTGCTGACTTCTGCACCGCGAACCCCCCCCCCATGTACATCACTCTGTACTTCCTAGTCACTCGCCTCCCTGACTCCCTTCGAGTAGTCAGGGACCACTTTCTCTCAGTCTGTCCCACCACACTCACTGTAGACCTCCTCGAGAAGGCCCTCCTCGCGATAGAAAAGAGCATAGTCGCTGTAGGAGCCTCTCGAGGTGACCCGCGCACCCCCATCTTTGAGGGGTGTTCTCCCTCCCTCCTGCTGCCCTCTGTTGCCTCTGCTGCTTCGGCCGACCTCCTTGGTCTTGAGTCGGTCGGTGCGGTGTCTGCCCCTAGCGGGAGACGCCGCCCTGGCAAGGGCAAGGGGGGCAAGGGAGCTGGAGGAGAGGGCGGTGGAGGTGGAGGTGGAGGCAGTGGGGGGAGTGGGGGTAGCGGTGGAGGTGGAGGTGGGGGTGGGGGGTTCGGTGGCGGCAGTGGAGGCGGAGGCCGCGGCGGCGGTGGCGGTGGTAGCGGAGGTGGCGGAGGAGGCGGCGGTGGAGGAGGCGGTGGAGGCGGCGGCGGCAGTGGAGGCAGCGGAGGCGGTGGAGGCGGTGGGGGTGGCGGTGGAGCTGGTCGCGGGTCTTTGCAGAGGAGTGGCTCCGGTGGTGGCTCGCGCCAGCAGCAGCAGCGTGGTCGTGCGACCCTGTCCCCTCAGCAGCTCCGTGAGTGGTACACTGCACGCCAGCGGGGTGGGGGTTTTGGTCCGTGTACCTACGTCCTGCGCACCGGCGACCGTGCGGGTGAGCAGTGTGGGGGTGCGCACCCCACTCCGCGCTGCTTTGGCCGCCTAACGGACGCATGGCGTCACCAGTTCCCGGAGGCCTCCGAGATCCCTCGCTGGGACGAGCTGTCTAGGGCGGGGGTTGCCATCTTTGATCTGGACTTTGATGCTATTCTCTCTGCCATGTATGCTGTGTCTATTAGTGATGAGGGTGACTGTTACCGGTGTTTCCAGCCCGATCCGGGCATTGAGACTGCTGCTCTAGGTACTGGTGAGGCTGCTGCCCTAGGTGCTTACGACGCTGCTGCTCTAGGTGCTGGTGTGTCTGCGTCCTCAGGTACTGGTGAGTCTGCTCTCTCAGGTACCGCGTCGGCTTCGGCCTCCCTCACCTTCACTCTTGACTCTGGGGCGTCTCGCTCCTTCTTTCGGGACCGCACCACACTCACGCCGCTTAGTCGGCCGGTTGCGGTGTCTCTGGCTGACCCCTCTGGGGGTCCGGTCCTGTCTCGTTTCTCCACAGTCCTCCCGTGTCCGGCGGCTCCCTCTGGCACCCTGTCTGGTCTCTACCTCCCCTCGTTCTCGACGAACCTGGTGAGTGGTGCTGACCTACAGGATGCGGGTGTCCACCAGTTCACACCTGCACGTCAGCGAGTGACCCACTGTACAGAGGCTGGCACAGGCCGACACCTGGCTACGTTCACCCGTCAGCCGGGGTCGAGCCTGTACACTCTGACCACTGCGTCTCCTCCAGTTGCTGAGTCTGGTAGGGTAGTTACGTCGGGTCAGGTGTTTGCTGCGGCGTCCAGGTCTGGTCCTGAGTCTGCCCCCTGTTCGTGTCGTCTCCTGTCTCACGAGACTCTCCTCTGGCACCACCGCCTTGGCCACCCCTCTCTGCTTCGGCTCAGAGGTATGGCCTCCCGTCTTCTTGTGTCCGGTCTCCCCCGGTCCCTCCCTCCCCTTCCTCAGGGCCCTGGCCCTGCCTGTGTCCCCTGTGTCGAGGGGCGCCAGCGTGCTGCCCCTCACTCCTCCCAGTTTCCTTCGACAGAGGCCCCGTTGCAGACACTTCACATGGACGTGTGGGGCCCAGCCCGCGTCCGTGGACAGGGTCACGAGCGCTACTTCCTGCTCGTTGTTGACGACTACTCGCGTTACACCACAGTCTTCCCCTTGCGCAGCAAGGGTGATGTCACTGAGGTGCTAATCGACTGGATCCGCGCAGCTCGTCTCCAGCTCAGGCAGAGCTTCGGCTCGGACTTTCCTGTTCTGCGTCTGCACTCGGACAGAGGCGGAGAGTTCTCCTCTGGCCTTCTGCGTGCCTACTGTCGTGCACGGGGCATCCGTCAGACCTTCACGCTTCCGGACTCACCGCAGCAAAATGGGATTGCTGAGCGCCGCATTGGCATGGTCATGGACGTCGCTCGTACGTCTATGATACATGCGGCTGCCCCCCATTTTCTGTGGCCGTTTGCGGTGAGGTACGCGGCGCATCAGATCAACCTCCACCCTAGGGTCTCCAGGCCGGAGACCTCCCCAGCCTTGCTGTGGACGGGGAAGGTTGGCGATGCGTCGGCGTTCCGGGTCTGGGGATCTCGGGCGTTTGTCCGCGACCTGTCTGCGGACAAACTATCCCCTCGTGCTACTCCTTGCGTCTTCCTGGGGTTCCCCCCTGACGCGCCTGGGTGGCAGTTTTACCACCCCACCTCTCGCCGTGTTCTGTCCTCCCAGGACGTCACGTTTGACGAGTCGGTCCCCTACTACCGCCTCTTCCCCTACCGCACTCCGTCCCTCCCCCCACCCCCACTCTTCCTGGTACCAGGTCCCCCCCAGGTAGACCCCCTC